CTCACTAGAAATCACACAAGATTCTTGGTATATATACTTCGAACTCGCCACTTTCCATGGACAGTTGCTACAAGAGATTTTTAGCCAGAATAATTTTCAGTCTTTTTAAGCAGTTGCGATTTTTATGTGTTTCAAAATATTGTCAACGACGTCTCTGCTCGTTGCAGTACCACCGAGATCGCGAGTATGTACTCCTTGATTAATAGTTTTGTTGATTGCATTCTGGATAACAATGGCATGATGTTTGTGACCTAGATGACGCAACATATCCACCGCGGCATTTAGCATCGCAATCGGATTGGCAATGTTCTTGCCAGCGATGCTGGTACCGGTGTTACGAGTGCCTGGCTCGAAGATCGTGTAATGGTCGCCGTAGTTCTTGCCAGCTAATAAACCAGCACCGCCCAACAAACCACATACCACATTCGATACGATGGCACCATACAGATTGGTCGTTAATACAACATCAAACTGATGTGGATTTGATACAAGCTGCATGCAACAATTATCAATAATCATATCGTTGTGAATGATATCCGGATAATCCTTGGCTACCCGCCGCGAGATCTCTAAGAAAAGTCCATCCGATAGCTTCATGATGTTTGCCTTATGAACTGTAGTAACTTTCTTGCGGCCGTTCCGTTTGGCATACTCAAACGCATAACGGGCGACACGTTCAGAGTTGAAATTCGTGATAACTTTCATGCTTTCAATGACGCCATAGACACTCTCATGTTCCAACATGGAGTACTCACCCTCTGTGTTCTGCCTCACAATAACAATATCGATGTTCTTCTGACGTGAGTTTACACCCGGATAAGACACACAATGTAGAACATTCACATAAAGATCGAGCTCATTTCGCAGAGCAACATTTCTAGAAAGGACACCAGCCTCTGTACTGCGCGTTTCTATGTTTCCTTTTAGAGCTACTCCGTTTCTACGTATTGATGTAATTGCATAATCTAAATCGACGTTGTCATCTGCGTTGGGATCGATTTCAACATCTTCAAAGTCTACTGGTACGCCAGCATATTTAAAAACCTGAAACAAATAAATTATAAATATTATCTCCAATATATAAGGTTTAGATAGGAGATTAATGAGAAGTCTGCTTCTTCTATCTAATGTATTTTGCATTGCTAAGGTTCGGTTCCACCACTATATTTAATAGTAAGATTAACTATAGAGCCTCTTTCATCAGTTTCACCAACTTTGATTACCACTAATCGAGGTTAACTCAATCATCACGATTGCGTAAACAGTTTGTCTTAGAAGAGGAAGAGAGAGACGTTCTGATACATTAAATTGCTGTTGACACTTTTGCAAGTTGATCCTCGATTAATTTAATAAGTTAGTGAAAGAAGCCTTATATCTCAGTTTAACTTACTATTTATCTTTTTTAATTTTTAAGACCAGTGCAGAGACCTTTGCATAATGCATAAAGCATAAGAAAATCAACTAATCAAAGTCTTTTATTTCATGGAAAGGAAGGAGATAAAGGACTTTGATTGGTTCATTTTTTATGCATTATGCAAGACTCTGCGCTCCCCCACTCTTAGAATTAGAAAAGGATAAAAAATAAATTAAACTGAGATTAAAGTTAATCTTATAGTAAAATCAAACCTTAGAGCCATAAGAATTGAGAATGATGATCTACGCACTTCCTTTACATAACCCATCAACTCCGGTCCGATGCCAGCTCCAGGCAGCATGGTAACAGTATGCCTACCACCGTAATGGGCCTTTGGTATGGGCATCACTTTCTTGATCGTGGGAGTTTTGTGCTGAATATCAAAGCCTGACAGAGATGCGCATCGATGACTCTGAAATACTACGGGCCTGAGTTTCAGGTACCTTAAAACCGAGCGGGCAGCCATCTCGCCGTATTGTTTCGCTGTAAACATAACGGAAATCAATTAATTAATCTTGAAGATAGCTCAAGATAGATCAACGCGTATTATTATTTAATACATACCGTTATCTTGGCAAATGCTATTTTAACGACACCCTCGGTGCACCCAAAACTCCAAAAGACCTTGCCAGTAATGCCAGTACCACAGTATATACAGTAGCGCAACTCTCCTGATTTTATGTTGGCCAAAACGGAGTGCGCATGCGTGAAATAAGTAAGTGCCCGTCTCATTTTCTCCTTCTTTATTGTTTTTTCTCTCTCTATTTAAATGACCGTTTCAATGGCTGCGTTCAGCAGACTCAACAG